CGGATGGAACTAATGGCGATGCTGGTCCGGATGGAACTAATGGCGATCCTGGTGCGGATGGACCTGATGACCAAGCTGGTCCGGATTGACCTAATGGCAAGGCTGCAGGCAAAGCTGAGCCATATGAAGTAGGTGCTACTTCGTTAGCCGAATCACCGTAAGCGTACAAAACGAGTGGTTGACCGTTATTTTGATTATACACTTCAGGTGCACCTGGTGCTGATGCTGGTAGTGGTAGTGGTGCTGGCGACGGTACTGGTAGTGGTAGTGGTACTGGCGACGGTTCTATTCCACCACATGGACAAACTGGAGTTGTGTACGCTTTCTGTATGACGCAAAAAAAGAGAGAAAAAAAGGCAGAAAAACATAAATTAAACGAAAATGTTCGTTAATCGAACGCTCGGTGGCGAAAATCCGATTGGAATGGTGGCCAATAAATACTTACGTTAAAAGCGAAACTCAGTAATAAAAGTGTTATTGCTCTCGTCGCCATGATGATTTGTCTGATGCAATTGAGTCGAGTGTGCCATTCAGAATTCTGTTGCACCGCTTTTATACGAATTTTTGCGATTCATTCAGCTTTTTGTCTGTCTGCCAATGTGTAATGTAAATCGGCATAATAATGGCAACTATCAAATGTTGTGTTGTGTGTTATTGGAGTGCTCATATTGTTTTCATATCAAATGCATTCCAATACGTGCTGCTCGATTCATATCATCCAGTCGAAAAAATTGTAAACAAAATCACGAGAGCACTTGATTCACTTAAGTTACCGATGAAATGAATGCAGCAGAAGCAGTAGCAGAAAAAAACCGCATACACACAACATAACACAACAGTTAAACAACTGTGTAGACACAAATTTACAACAACCATTGTGCGAGAGTGTGTGTGTGTGTGTGTGTGGAGTAGCTGTAAATGAGTTTGGCAATAATCATCAGCGAGTCGAATAAATCATCGTATCGAAATGAGAGCGAAAAGATGGGGAAAAAGAGCGCGGAAAGTGTGTTTGAATAAACAAAACCAAAATTATACACACAACAAACATCCCAAAAAACAAAATTGAAACATCAACAAGAGCGTTGCGCGCGCGTATATATGCGAAAGACGATCGAATACGAGCCACAGTCCAAAACAACTGTTTTATTCCAAATAAAAACACTGAAATATATTACTAACCAGCGGTCATACACTAAAGCACACGTACATACGAACAGAGGCAATAGAACAAGTGAAAGAGTTAGCTTATTCGTGGTTTTACTTTACTCGACGAATGCATAGACACACATACATACCAACGTCGAATGGGTTTTTAGCTGACTTTTTAGCTCGAAATGCATTACGAGTGTTGGTCAAATAACAAGAGAAATGTGACAATTTGTTTGTTTATTCAGGTCTCTTGATGGGTATTTTTTTTCTCTCTCTGTATGTCTGTTGTCATTGTTGTTGTTCGGTCCGAAATAAAACAAAAAACAAATTTTCACATTGTGTCTAGCCGAATGCGTGCGGTTTTATGAATTGGCGTATATTTTTTGGATGCCAAAAAACGAACACGTATACCAATGTGATTGATATATATCTGCCTCTATCTCACTTATCGATTGCGGTGTTGTGAATGAATTTGAAGCCTGTATTTAATTTTGAAAACCACAATCGGCTGAATTGATAAATTTTCTCGTTGGCTATGCGTGCTGCTACTGCTACTGCTGTTGCCGCACACAGTATAATGCATAGACAAATTCACTTACGTAGACGAGCGTGCTATCTCACATGCGCGCGCACACACACACTCGCTCATTTTCTTCATGAGGTCAAGCCAAAAGTTGCGGTAATAAATATGACTTAACCCAGCTTAAAAAGCCAGAAGCTCTTCTTCGATCGGACGAGAATATCGACTGTGTGTATGTTGCTGCTGCTGTTTTTTTGCCGTTTGTTTGCTGGTTGTTGGTTGGTTTGCTACTTGACAATCGCGATGAAAGAATCACACAAAAAGTACAATAAATTCACACAAAATAAATACGAGCAATCTCAAATTGATACATTGACCGAAATGTTTGAAATGCGCATAAGCTTTTTTTGTTGTTGCCTATTCGCTTTTAATTACTTGTTTTTTCTCTCTCTCTCTCGCCTCACACTCTTCGGTGTGTGTGTGTGTCGTATCTCATTTCTGTTGAATGTGGCAAATAAATACCCTTTTTGTGAACCTTTTCTCTCTCTCTCTCTCTCTCTTCCTCTCTTTCTTCTCTGTTTCTCCATTGCAGGTCTCAGCCGGAATGAAACTTTATGATAATTGAATTTGCTTGTGAACAGTTTTTTTTATTGGAATGTTTGCGCACACATCAAAATTCTGACCTAGGTTCTGTTTTGCGCGCGCTTGATTTAATTCCACACACAACGCAAACACAATTTTCACCCGTATTTTCATGCAATCGAATCGTAAGTGCGAAACAACAAAGAATATTATTATAAATACCACGGAGTCGAGCGCTTAAATTGAACCGACAGAGGAAATAAAAAGCGGAGAAACCAACACATTTCAAGTGAAAGGAGAAACCAACATAAAATATATTACATTTATATAGAGAGAAAGCGTAGAGAGAAGCGAAAAATCGTTCGAAAAACCACAACAAGAAAAATTGGATTCATAAAATGTAGGAAAATAAAAGTCAATGTTTCGAGTGCGTACTACGATCATCATTACAAATTAATAAAACCAGACGAAGACGAAGAGGAAGAGAAAGCAAAACACTGAAGAAATCTCTGGATTTTTTTTCGTTCTACTCTCGCTCGACAATACAAATCTTTTGACGACTTCCATTTCGTGCAAACGACATAATCGACGGATAAAAAGCGATTGCTATCTGAAAATCGAGCGGCCGAATGGATCAAGTGTTCATAATGTCAAGCACCATTTGTTCATTGCATATTTTTGACGGCGTTTGTGTCAAGCGTCGACTAAATTCCAACAAATCGATGTCCATGCATTGGATTGTTCTAATTTGGTTGGCGATTATGTCCCGCCAACCGTATGCCGTGCATGGATTAGACGAATTGCATATTGGTGGTATATTTCCGATTGGCGGCAAAGGCGGATGGCAAGGAGGTCAAGCTTGCCAACCAGCTGCTGAATTAGCCCTGGAGGATGTCAACAGTAAATCGGATTTATTGCCCGGTTTCAAGCTAACACTCTACAGCAATGACAGCGAGGTATGTGTGCAATTTTTAATATTTATTTTCTGTCTATTTTTCGCATGTACATAACTATTCGTCAATTTCAGTGCTGACATTCTGCCACTCAATTCATATTCTTTCCTTTTCCCGGAAATAGAATGAACAACTAACCCTTGAATTGCTTAACCCACAAAAAAACCATATAAAGTAAAGGGGTATTGAGTGGCTTATCGCAATAATATAGTAAATTTTTTCGAGCGCGAACAAGAGCGGAGAAAAAGCAGAATAATTGACCTTCAGTGAATTAAGAAGAGGGATGTGGTAAAGCGAGCCAATCCACAATTCACAAATTCAGTTAAATTAAGCAAACACTCATCCTCTTAAAGCCAAAACGAGATTTGTGTAATTTTTCGCTGAAAATATCATAAATCGCATTACATTCGCTTTATATGTCAAAGCTAATCTGGATTTGAAAATTTTATTCACAACGTTCTGACCGAAGCACACACATACAACACTCACAACGGATGACGATGATGCTGAAGAGCAAAAAAAATCACTCTTGAGCGAAAAGCACTTGCGGATTCAAGTTGACATTGGCTAAATTCTGGTGCTGTTCATGGCTATGTTTCAGGCTTTACATTTCTCATTCTCTGTCTCTGTCTCTTTTTCACACTCATCTGCTCGGCAGATTGCTTGTTCGTTCGCTCCCATTCACTCTCTGCTCTATTGCCCAACGACTCAATTGACATAATACTAGCAGTTTATGGCATTACATAATATTTGCTATTGTAATTTACATAAGAATGTCAGTCAACATCAAATGGTACAAAAGACTTCTCTCGTTCATTTCACATACATGCCAGTCTATCCATGCCGAATCCGAATCCGAAACGATGAGCCAAAAACCAACGATGAACAAATGAATAAAACGCAAAATTCTCTATGCATTCATCGTAACCAAGAAACGAACCACACACACACACGTATATACAAGCGCAAATAAAAGACCGAAAAGAAAAATATGAAAATGGAAATCTTGTCAAAATATTTAAATTCTTTCGTCTGCTCATTCTATGAGATTGAAAATGTGTAAAAATTCCGGGATTTTCCCCTCGATGCTATGTAATATATGCACTACATTCAGCAAAGATTTATTTGAAATAGTTTCAAATTTTATGTTTTACATATTTCATAACATGGTGTGTGCAAGCACAAGCACACTTACTCGTTGCCAAAATCGAATAAAACATTCCACAAAAGAAGACGAGGGAAAAAAATAATATATTATTATTGTATATGCATTTCATCTTCCATAAATTCAATAAATTCTCATTGAGTTGTGCCACTGACGCGAAACATTTTGCGCATAAATTTGCCTCACTGCCTATGAGTCTGTATGCTACTGAACCAAACTAATATCTGAAAATGAAAACAATCATTTCATAATAACAATAATAGTAATAATGTTGCGGATGTACAAAAATCAAACACATTATTTTCCATAAAACGATGTCGCATATTTTCCATCATTGGTTTTCGGTGTAGCTAGCCTTTAATCAGTGCTAAAAACAACATCGAATTTGTGGCCATCGCTTTGACTACACCAAATTGGCATTTATGGGCAAAAATCGCCCCCAAAAACTAAAATCCCAAAATTTATCATCATGCTAAAAACCATTTAATTGAGAACATATATTTAATAATTGAAATAAACAAAATATTGGCAGAGCGAGATAGAAAAAAACTATAATATAAACATACATGATAATATTTGTGCGAGATATAGTTTGGCTAATTGAAAATGGCCCTGTGAATTAAGCCCAAATGAGACGTGAAAAGAGTAGTGCTGCTTTTTAGTTTGGAAAATTATCATAAAGTGGTCATATACAGAAACGGTTATGTGTATACATTTCCCGTTTCCATAGTCCGTGGTATGTATGCTCGAGGGGAGTGACTGAGTGAGTGTGCATTAATCGGATTTTCGTCATTTCGATGTTCATTTTAATAAAATGGTATGTGCGCGCGCAAAATCCAGCTTCCCGAACGAATCGATCGATGGCGTGGCCATACATTTTATTGAATATTATTTTCTGTGGTTTCATTTTTCTGCAGCGGTTCAATCGATTTTCCGTCATTGCTTGCGCGAACGAAAAACAACTTCGCCACGTTGAAAGCAATTCTGAATCTTCGAATGCAATAATCATCGCCAATACTGGATGCTATTGGTTGCGATGAGAAAGTTTTTATCTTTCTACTCTTTCACTCTTTTTCTAGAAATTTCTTCACGCTATAAACAACTGGCGGTTAAGCTAGCAAATTGTCGACGAAACAGATGAAAATGTGTGCCATAAATTGATATTCAGGGAGAGGATAGAATAACACGGGCAAAGCATATTTTCGTGTTAATGAAGCGCAATTCGACCAGACCTCTCGGCACATGCACACATACCACACATACTACGTACGTACGTTCGTTCACCGTACAGTTTACAACGGTTCACGCGAAATGTTTCGACAAATTCCAAATAATTTCTGTAAAATTATCCAACGACTTATAGCTACGACACATGCCATTATTGTGGCTATTTTATATTTTGGTTATCGGTTTGCTTGTTCTGGTTGGGGCTGCTGCCGCTGCTGCTGCTGCTGTTTTTTTGCATGAACACACATACACAATTTGCGCTCTTTCTCTCGCTCTCTTTTAAATATCATTGTGTCCCATTTAATTATGACTCTAATGTTTACGGACAAACAACCAAACACATATATACATATTGGAGCGAGTAAGCGACCGAACAAACGAACGAACGAGCAAAATGAGCGCTCGCGTGCGCACATCCACCAAATGCACAGTGAAACACAAGCGCACAAATTAAAACCGAACATAGATATACGTAATACGGTTTGCTGTAATTGTTTTTGCCTCTTTTTCTCCAGTCCGCTTAGGGACCTCGAAAGATTCGGTGGGCTTTTCTGCGTTTTCTCGCTTTGTATTCGATAGGAGTCGAGCGTATTTGGCACTCATCTGATGAAAACCGTCGCTTTTGATCACATCGACAACAACGACAACATCAACGACGACGACGACGATGATGGACCGAAAAACAAAACAGAATGCTAGCATCCAAACTAATTCGCACACAAAACACGCACATACGGGTTACTCGTTCGCTCGCTCTGTGCTCATTTTGTGATAGGATGTTTATATATTTATTTTCCACAATGGATTTGCTGTGTATCACTGGCAAAAATAATTATTCTGCTCTCCATCACCAACCACCACTGTAGTCGTCGTCGTCATCGTCATCCTTTTGTTTTCACCTTATATTCTCAGTCGAAGCAAAATGTTTATTACTTTGTGGCATTTTATTTATTTCCTACTGTCAATGAATCGGTGAACAATGAGTCGGAAGTTAGCAGCGAAGACAAAACTCTCTAACACGAGCGAAAAGAGCAGGTGCGAGAGAGCGAGACGGAGGGAAAGAAGAAGAAGAAAAAAGTAATAATAATAATACACACAATTATTCTCGGCAGCCCAAACGAACTGCTAACAAAACATCACCCGATATCATTATATTGTAAATGTTCTGTATGTGTTTATGGCTGCTTGGATGACTGGCTGGTGTGTGTGTGCTTCGGATAAGTTGAGAAGCAGCAAAATAAAGCCTATTTTCCAGTCAATTTATCTTACAATTCTGAACCTATAACATCTAAGCACCCATCTCCCGGGCTCTTCAAATTGTTATTCGTGAGATGGCGATGATGGCACACGGTGAAACTGATACTTAGTTTGGTTTGCGAGCTGTTTTTTTTTCTCTTCTCTCTTTTCTGTTTAAAATTTAATACCCTTCAATGGTTTGGGTGTATGTGTGTATAGGCCAAAACAGTTATCCAAATTATTCAGGCGAAAAGGCAGATGCGATTCTTCGATCAATGAGCGATTGAGAGAAAATCGAATGGTTTTGCACGTCGTTGTGACGTGAGCAAAGCTCATGAACTTGAGAGAAATAAAACGCTGAATCCGATCAATTCAACAATAAATCCACTGAAAAACTTCCATCCTCTTTCTTGGTCCATTCCGTTTTGCTTCTTTTGTCTAGTCAATTTTTAAATGAATAGAGAGAGAAAGAAAAAAAGCATTCAATTCATTGTGTTTTTTTGTCACTTCACATGTTCCTTCCTAATTATAGCAAATGGTTCGATTGGTCTTTTATCAAATATCGTGTATGTATCGAATCGTTTGCTCGTTCTTCATCACCACCACTGTGCTGTCTACTCGTAATCGAACACCTTCTCACACTTGTCCTCTTTCTCTTCTTTCCTTTTCGATTCGTTTCGTTTCGTGAAAAGTGCGTGTATGGCACGTTTATATGACTTCGTTCATTTATTTCGTTTTCTTTTTTAGTTCAGCTGGTCTCTTCCAGCTGGAGATGGTTCATTGTGTCGATTTATTTTACTGTAACTGTTATCCACTGCGTGTATTATGTCGTATATTTAATGTTTTCATAGCGGAAAATAATTCGAGAGACTGTCACACTTTTTTCTCTCCCCAAAATGGATATGCTACGCGAGCGTATAGCTCTCGCTTTTTCTCTTTCTCTCTCTCTCTCTCGACAATAGTCGATTATTTTAGTAGTTGTCGCCATTATTATTATCTTCGATCATTTATCATTCGAGAGCGGTTTTCGGGGTGAGCTTCGTGTGCGTTTCACCGTTTTGACATTTTATACCAACTTGTTGTGCATTTTCCGTGCACAGCAATATCAAAATCCGAATGGACGAGCAAGTCAGCGAGTTGAACGAGCTAAAGTGAGTGAGTGGCCTCAATGAGGGGTGATGATGATGTTGAAAAACGATTGATTCCGTTTTTGGACTTTGTAGCTTTCGTTGAAAGCGTAGCCTCGATGTCATAACTTATATATATCATGTTTGTGGCAAGGGGATGGGGAGAAACCAACAATTTATGGTCTCAAATCTCGTGCAATCAAGTGAATAATCACAATCTTTCACCGAAGGAATATACTTTCGGATAT